AAGTAGAGCTGATTGTTGCTAATCTACATGTGAATATTTTGCGGTGAAACCCCACAATCTTTCTTTAAAGTAGCTTCACACTTATTCGATATCACCACTGAAGTATCGTCTGCCTATAAAGTGAATCTAACTTCAGAGAAACAGTACTCAAGGTCATTTAAATATAGACTGAATTGCAAAGGTCCTAGAATAGAGCCTATAGTAATGTGAGCCATGTCGGACTTAATAGGCGCATTCAGACCACTATCGACGATACTCACAAATTGAGGTTTATTCCCTAAAAAGGCTTTATCCAATGATGTCATAGACCATTTCGGCCATACTTTTATGTTCTTTGCAAACAGCACTCCATGCTTCTAAATAATTTTACATTGATTTGGTTTCTGCAGCGAAGAGATTCGAATGTAGTATTCCAAACGCTGCGATCTTATATAGAGTACGATTCTATGTTTGAGGTTCTCAAGATGACTGACCTTTTAATCTTTTATAATTGCGTAAACTTGACCGTGAGACAAAAAAGTCTTTATTCAAAATTTTGCATTTAGTGCTCCAACTTTACGATTTCTCGCCCTTTTGTCACCATGTTTACCATTGCGAGTGCATATTATAAAATGCATTCTCGTGTCACCTTTGGGTCGGTAAAAAAGATTGTAAAAGTGATGGGTTCAGTTAGTACATTAATGGGATAATATGTGTCCATATATATCGCGCCGGATAGCTTTTAACGCTGAATAATTTTACATTTCATTTACGGCCGTTACGTCGCTTTATGGCTAATACGCTATAAAATGTGGGAAGGAGAACGCCCTGTACATTCCTTACGCTTCGACATGGGAAACAGATGTTGATGCGGATACCTATAGGACAAACTTATGCATACAACTTTTTTGTACACCTTCCAATTTCTACCTCATTATATTATAACTTGAGAGATACTGCTCCGATTTTGACTAGATATTCAAAAAAAGTTGCTACTATGTCAAGAACCCAAAAGCTTCGTAGTTTTTGAAAAGTGGTCCAGCGGCGGCAGAGAAAAAAGCCAAAACTGGAACATAACAATAAATAAAAATCGCTCAAACTTCGTTTTTTGACGTTTTAGAGGATTTTGATCATTTTAAAGAAAATCCCTATAGAGGTTGAACTTCGGGGTTCGGGGCTTGCAGGGGGTGGGAAGGATATATGATAGAGAAACGCTTTCGATTCGCGTACTCCTGCTATCTAAGCCTGGCGAACTGGTCCGGCTGAATAACCAATCCGCATTGTAGCGCAAAAAAGACATACGAGGTCTGTAAATTAAGTGATGAGACTGTCAACGTAACGTTCGATCTGGCAATACTGGAGTTGCTGGGCTTGGAGGGGAGCAAGGGGAACATGCGATTTGCATTTTTTGTGAAACAAGTTTTTCTATTGTGTTCTAAAAATGAGTGACATCAACTTCGAACAACGGTGTGCTCTCAAGATTTGCTTCAGACCTAAGCACAGTGCACTGGAAACTCTTGCTAAACTTCAAGAGCAGATGAACATATCGACAGAATCTGGGATCTTATGCGTTCAGATCGTCGGTTGACAGTCAGAATGATCGGGGAAGAGTTTAACCCAAGCCACCGTTTATCAGATTAAGAACAATTGGGTGTTGCATCACGATAATGCTCCGTGTCAAACAACAATGTCAATAAATGCGTTTTTGGCCAGTAAAAACATTCCTGAGGCTCCTTAGCCCCATTATTCTCCTGACTTGCATTATTGTAACTTGTTTCTTTTCCCAAAGTTGAAGAATCACCCTAAGGGAGCTCATTTTAGCTGAAGGCTATTCAAGTATCGGAGTTCCAGCCCTACTATGAGGAGTGGAAGAACCGACTTCAGCGGTGTGTGGCTTTAGAAGGAAATTAGTTTGAGGATGACAATATAAAATTTTCATTACATTTGAGAAATTAAAAAATTAAGCCTCGTCACTTGATTTACATATGTCGTATACACCGACGACGCGCGGAATGAACGGTAACTCGCTCGAAAAGGACAACTTTGCCAGATGGACAGTAACTACCGGCAGGGCAGGGAAGGAATGCCTATGGAATAAATGTATGGGTCTGTTTGACTTAATTCGTTTGATTTTTCAGTTGTAAATGTTCGTTTCTTCTCAGAGGATTTAAATTGCGCTGAACGTAATCCTTGATAAATTGATTATGGCGTTGCATAGGAAGTGCAGAGTGAACCTATATTTTTTTAACATTAAGGAATTTCACCATATTGTTCTTATACAGGTAGTATCATGGTATCATAAGTTAACTGCAGTTATTCGTCGGGAGCGAGGTGCATAGTGGGTGGAGCTTAATCTATCGCGGCTCACGCATTGGGCAAAAAGAGAAACATTCTCGGACTGCTAGTGGAACATATGTGTGACCTCTATGGTGAAATCCGTGTCATATGGGATCAACTGGGGCCTGTCAACAGGTGCAAATATTTCGCTTAAAAAACAAATTGCTTCTGATTCAAAATCGACAAAATGTGTTATTTCCATTAATATCCACAAGCGCAAATATTTAAGTCCGATATTCAGGTAGTATATCGCTCTTTGATCTCCTGCTATTGGCGAAAAGGGCTGCTCAAATCCAAATTATGAGCCTAGTGACTTTGTACATTCTGACAACGTCAAGGAGGAAGTTGGCACCTCTCTGTTCTACCTCCTTATGCTACCGTATTTGATTTGCCTTCGGAGGCTATAAAGACACAAAAACTGCAAAAATCAATTACGAGATCTAAACCTATACCTATGGTGCGAATGTGGGAGCTATATCTCCAAAATATAACCGACGTTACTTTCTATCAAAATACGTTGTCCACTAGTTTGAAACATTACTCTGGTTTCAATCTTTCGGCTGTGTTGTCTTGTCCACATATACAGGATGTCCTCAAATTTGGGACCTTTCTTTGAACGGCCTATAGATCTTGGAAAAACAAAACATTTTGGTTCTAAAAATCAAATTAAAAATAGCACATTCATACTGCAATATCGGAGCTGCCCATGTTATTTTAATTTACTGTGAGTGTCTACCGAGGCTTTGCGAGTGCATGCAGATCGTTTTTCGGCGAAATGTTTAGTGTATAAAACAGGAGCGAGCATGGTTGACGAAGTGTGGGTGCGAATTTAGTAACCTGCTACATTCATTCGGGAAATACAGTCCACCGCTGCTTGGCGATATCGATCACATACATTTGCCTATGAATCTATCGCAGACAACTTTGACCAAAACTTACAAGTGACAGAGCTGTACTTGAAATTTCTTCCCGATGAGCGGTGAGTACTTTGTCACTGATTTTTATCCTAACTTGTAGGAGACCCTTTGTAGTCGATACAAACTTCATTTATTCCGTGTCAAAAGAAGCGTGGCACTTGATCGACACCTTTGCTCCTTTTCGCTTCCCACTCTGCCCTATTAGAGCGAGCGAATTTGAATGTTACTCAATGGTGCTTGTTTGACGAGGCGCACATGAGATCGCAGTATACTCTAATGTCTGAGTGCTCTCGTAGGTTCTAGTTTTAGACCATCTCTGGAAAAACTTCCTGCGTTTCGAATCTCTGAATGTTATCTTCTATTCCGTGATAGATTAGAAAAAAGGCTGAACGTTGGTGGTCACGTCAGTTTGTCACGAGGCTGCCTCACTTTAAGCAATATGTCTTTCTAAGCGACAGCTCAGCCTGCTGCGTGAGAAGCATTCCAGAATAATTCCGCACCTTACATGAAGAAGCATAAACTAATTAATGTCTAAGAAGTGCATTTCCTCTTTTTGCGCAACGCTCGTCTCCTGAAAAGATGGTACTACTTTATTAGGAGTCGTGCCTGCAGCTATCCAACAAAAGTAATTAGTTATGCAAAAAAATAAATAAGGTAATGTAGCGATGTATGGGAGGGTTTTATTATCGAACATAGTCGTCGACTGGCAGGTACTTTAGGGCCTTCACTACAGGCCTTCTTACCTTGAGGACGCCTTATTTGCATCGACATTCTTGACACAAACGGACGACAGGAGAGAAGCTAAGCATTTCTTTTAATGAAGGAGGCAGCTGTTTCCAATTTTATGTCTCCTCATTAGCGCTTTAGTGAAAGTCACAGTCTTATGTTGATATTAAAGCTAACATTAAACCCATACAGTTTTCAAACTTGTTACCATTCGAATTTTGGAAAAGGTAAGGGATACAGGGTCTGTTAGATGGGGGTCAGGCTGTGCATTTAGGTATCTACGACAATGGCGCCTTAGAAGTTTTGTAATTCTGAGTATAACAGGAGAACTTTATTTCAAGGGCATATTTCAAAACACATTAAACATTAAGAATGCTTTTCTTTCTCTATAGAGTGGCATAATTAGAATTTCAATTTCAAGATGTGAAAAAATTGTAAAAAAATCACCTATTTCCTGGCCTATATTAACAAATCTGCTAATCTTTCTAACCCATCCATCGCCATCAGGTACCATTTCCTCAGCATTGCCTCGAAGTCTTTGCGATAATTTTCCGGTATCTCTTGAGCGATTTCCGCTGATACCCGCTGTTATAAATGTCTGGTTTAGGGCAGTAGGAAAAATGTAGTGAGTTACGGTACTACTTAGTGCCTATAGTAGTGGTCGCACCTCGAGGCAGATTTGGTCGTACTTGGTCGTACTTTACGGCAGTTATTTTCAACTTTAACAACTTAATGTGCGACTTCGCGTTGTTTATTGAGCCGACGTACGGGCGGATGTCGGATAATGAAAAGTTCAGTTCGCTTTGATAGCACGGTAGTACCTTGTAGATTCTTATCGGAATAGATCTGTCACGATACTCAGTAAATATACTGTGTGTGCGTTAAGCAAAGCTATCGACAAAAAGTCAGATCGGATTAGAATATTCTAAGAATATTTGTAATTTTGAAAATCCAAATTAGGAGATGCTTGAATCTTTCTGGAAACCCTTGGATCTCCTCTCGTATGCTTGGATTTATATAAATAGAAATGTAAGGTCCTACCCTGAGCTATAATGGTGACAGAAACGTCCCACCAGCGCTTGCGGAGGTACACAGATCTCCTTGGATTATCTCGTATCTAATTTTTTCAGATCTCTCTTGGGTCTCTTTTCGGTGACGAGTCCTTGGACTGCCTCCTCCCACTGGGATGAAATATTACCGTAGTAGCCTTATTCAAGCCCTGGTTTTTAACGGTACATGAAACATCTAATTTATGCTGTTCTTCTGAAGAACTCGGATAACTGAAAAAATACCATACTCTAATCCTAATTCCATAATTTGTTGTTACGTACTCCCACGCCCACCGTATCGGCTTTTTGCAGTGAACTCAGAAGTGACTGATCTATATATCAGTCGTACTTCAGACCACGAGGATTTGATAAATCACAAAAAGCAGTCCGGTTCGCCTTCTTGCAAACACAACACATGTCACTGGTCACTGACAAATTCCGCTAAACTGAAGCAAAATTCACACGGGCACGAATATGGTCAGCGAGCAGGCCTGACAAAAAACGGCCGGACAGCCGTCTACCGTACCAGAGTACCAGCCAAATCCAGGTCGTGCTGTTTTTCGTCGACTGCTGATTTATTTTTTATAAATATTCATCGTGTCCGGCAGCCCCGTGAGAGATCGACACTCTTTCCCACCTTTGTGCACAAAAAGCGAAATGCAAACATTCTAAATATTCTATCTTGCAGAACGTTAATGACTCGGTAATAAAACTCTCGATTAAGCTGATGTGAGACAATGTCCATAGACGTCCCAATGCAACAACATCGCTGAAATAATGTAGAATGTCATCTTAATTTTCAACTTGGATAACAAATATGAATAAAAAATAGAAAATGAGTATTTTTGGATTGTTTAGTAACTATTCACGTTAATACGATAAACGCATATTACATACATGGAAATGTATGTATTTATCTATAATTAAATATTCAAAATTGCAATTCCATTGACTTCGATTTAAACGCCGCAACGACGTGGTAGCCCTCGATACGTCATTTGATTGTGTTTTTGGTTAATTTGTTGCACAGTTTTTAAAGGTTCTATTCTATATACTCCAGTTTTAACAAACAAAAAAACTATGGATAAATAACGGAAAAATTATACGTATTATACTTTACCTATGTGCAAAAGTACAAATACGATACGTAAAGCACCGGATACCTTGTAAAGTGATTGGAGGGCGCGAGAGCTGCTGCTGTTAAGCCAGGAAAATTGGTGCTACATACATGTTGACCGTAAAAGTAGTCATATAGAAAGGGTTTTTTTCACGGCAGTAAAGTGAATTCAATATTTACTGGATGTTTGTTCAAGAATAAGTGTTTTATAATCTTATTTACGTCTTGAAATAATTTATTAAACAGAATTTTGTACAGCAAGGGCAAAAGTCAATGATCTGCTTTAACTGACCTGACACAAACCTATAAAGAGAAAATATAGGTTTTTGTAGCTAACCTCATCGATATGTTTTGGATTTTTTTTTACCTTTTTGAATTAACACCGTTATTTTCTATTAAATGCTCTGTAATATTTGTCATATTAATCTAGATATTGTATCAGATTTAGTACATACTTCGAGTGGGACCCAAATCCTTTTTTCTGATTGGTGGAGGTTGCGGCATAGTGGCAAACTTTATGTCCGAGCTCAAATGAAAATATAGGTTTGTGTAGGGTGTAGGTGATTCATGAAGTACGTCTTGATCTAATATGAGAATTAGGGGCCCATCTTAAGCACATCGTGTAATTTTTTCAAAATTTGAGTGATATTTTACAAGAAGTCGACTATATTCATTTGATTCATCAAATGAAAAACGTTTTCTCATTGGTTGACTTTATGTCCCACGTACAATTTTGTTAGACTTGGTAAAACCATTTCAACGTATGTACGTGACTTTAGACTACGATTTATAATTTTATTCATTTAGTAAGGCACTTGAATACTACATGTATGGACAGTTTCACTAAGATATTGATTGATACCCCGTCGATGACTATAATTAAGATCAGTTTACCAATAACATTTTACCATATCTTGTACATAGTTAACACTTGCATTGAAAGGGGATTGTTTCCCAAAGCCTGGAAAACTGCGTTGATTTTACCAACACTAAAAAACAATAAACCAAATGATGTTTCTCACCCGAGACCCATAAGTTTGTTGCCCGTGTAGTCAAAATTTTTAGAAAAAGCAGTTCAGCTACAAGTAGTGTCGTATATTGAAGTTAATGGTATCATTCCTCTTAACCAGTCTGGACTCAGGAAATACCATAACACAACTTCTGCGTTACTAAATCTATGTGACAACATCATGAAAGCTTTATACCAGTTGACTACTGCAAAGCTTTTGATAAAATAAATCACAAACTTTTACTTTCCAAGCTACATTACATTGGGTTTGATAATATTGCTATTCAGTTCTTTATAAACTCTCTCACAACGTATACAATATGTTTCTGTGGACAACAGACTGTCAAAAATTAGCATTATACCATCAGGAGTCCTTCGGGGCTCTATACTAGGCCCTGTGTTATTTCTTATCTTCACGTTTGATTTGCGCAAATCTGTCGCACATTTCGACTTGCAAACCTCTTGCTCGCAGGATGCTGCTGACTTATAAGAGCAGGATCTGAGTAAAGTGCAACAATATTCGAGAGACCATAATTTGAATATCAATCCGGATAAGACGCAAATATTGCTATTTTGTTCTGACGCTAGGAGAAAGGATGTGAAGAGTACATTTAAAGTGCATCCTGATGGCTTGCTGCTGCAGCTTAAAAATTCAGCTAAGATTCTAGGTGTTGAAGTGGTTAGCAAATTGAGGTTCAGAGAACATGTTATGACATTAAGTAAAAAACATATGCCCGAATGAGAGCGTTAATGCCAGTCGCTACCTACTAAACTATAAACTGAGACAAAAATTGTGTGAGTCCCTTGTTTTGTCAATTCTAACCTATTGTGATATTTTATACCATCCGGGCTTAGATGAGCGTATGACTGCAAATTATTCAAAATAATTGCATTCGCTCATTTCATGGGCTGAGGAGATTTGATCTTGTTAGCAATACATACCACCAAACGAAATGACTAAAATTTGATAAACTTATACAGTACAAATACTTAGTGTTCTTGCATAAGTTGATGGCTGCATCGAAACCTGTGTATCTGAGAGAAAATATCATTTTCAATCGCGAAGTTAATGACGTAAATAATTACTAGGGACCGTTCTATGATTAGGATACCTCCGCACTCTACGACACTTTTCAAACGTTGCTTCTCATACAACGCTGCCATATTTTACAATACTATACCTACTGAATACCAGTGGCGAAGCGTCCATGTAACCATTGTTACCATTGGTAACAGTTAAAAATCTTAAAAATAAATATCTTATGACTAAGTACTGAGAAATAATTTCATTTATTTGTTTACCAACAGGGGACCGTCGGAGCCGGCTCGTGTCTGATCGCGGTCGCCCGAGTGCTTGGGGCGCTGCGGCTATTTTGTTGGCTTATTACCATTTTTTGATTTGGTTACTCAATTCTCACTCGTTAGTAGCCGTTTTGGTTACGGGCTGTAGTGTGCGTGAAATTAATCATGGATGAGTGTCGCTGCGTAATCGATCAAATACTTGAAAAGTCATTCTCCTTGTATAATTTTTAAGAAAAAAAGGAGATCATTGAAAATGGAAGACCATCACCTATTTTAGATAATTTTAAAAAGGAATAAAGGAACGTAGTTTGATATTTTAAATTAAGTTGGTATATGGAAACTTTTGGTTATGTGGTTGCAAAAAAAACAGATTGTATTGTTGGCGATGTCTTCTGTTTTATACAGAAAAAAATGGGTGGACCAGCAGCGGAGTCAACGATTTAAATAGTTTTAGGGCTCTAAAGAGGAGACATGAAATTTTCCGTTATATGTGAGATGTGTAGCCAATTTAATTCAGTTTGGCAAAACAAGAATCGAAAGATGTCTTAACCAAGCTTTTAAACAGCACACTTCTAGATACCGTAAGATTTTTGGCACCGTTTATTTTGTAGTGGATGACTCTGGCAATAGAGGAAACTACAGGGAATTGTTAACATTCATTGCCAAAAAACATCAAATTTTTTCCGAACATCTAGAAACGTCGACTGCTTTTTCGCACGGCTTGGATTAGTCAGCAGTCAGACGATGAGGTATATCAAGTGCCCCAGACACTCAGTCCAGGAATGTTTACCTTAATTTAAAAGTAGTTTAAATAAAATACCTAAAATAAGCAAAAGCTTATATTTGGGAGGTTCAAAATAAACTTTTTTTAATAAGATTTTTAACATCTGGTTTTGGTAACAGTTTAGGGAAAGTCGCGCGTCGCCACTGCTGAATACAGAAAAATGTCACCTGTCATATTTCGTTGATTCATCAAAATACATATGTCTACTCTGGCTTAACATAAATAGGTACGAATGAACTTGTTTTCTGGGATGTTTAGCCATTCATGTACATAGTATTATGTCCTTCTTGTATTTTAGTTCAGCGATTAGGTATTTTTTCGATTACTAGTTTATGCTCCTTTAGTGGATTTATTGTAAATATTGCACAAAACATCGTGCTTTCTTAACATATAGCAAAAGGAAGTTAAGTGTAAGAGCAGCTCAAGCCAAACTTCACTATCTTTGTCCCTCACTTGCGGGCTGTTTTGCCAATTCAAATTATCATGCTGTTTAAGACCGGGTTATTCGGAAAAGGTTGCATACTGATTGTATTACTGAGTGTTGCATTGTTGATATTAGGTGACTTGGTAAATTGAGATCGTGCAAGTGTTCACTTACTGACTTTGGTACTACTCCTGTTGTTGAAATTATTATCGGATGTATTTTCACACTTTCTACTTGCCAAATTTGTTTTATTTCTTGGGACAAGCTTTGGTATTTTTGAATTTTTCGCAGTATGTTGTCTGTATGTTGTGACCATTAACTACCGCATAATCAATGAGGTGAACTGTTTTCTCTTCCTTCTGCAATAATGTTGCGTATCAGCCCTATTGTGCATCACTTGCCTATCTGTGTGGATTGGTCTATTTCAGAATAATATAATATAATACTTCATTCTCTTTTACTGGTTCTGGATGGTACTTCCAGTACTGCCTATTTGGTGGTGTGTTGAATATTTTTTCTTCAATGGCCTGGTGTAGAATTGCCCATGTTTTCAGATCGCGTGGTGTATTCTGTTTGGCTGAGCTTGGTACATCCGGTTAGTATGTGTTTGGGTTGTCTCAGATGTTACATTACACCACCTGCATAGGTCGTTTATCAAGTTTTCCTCTTTAATTGTGTTAGCGGTAATTCCTTGTTGCTACTACCTGGTCTTATATAGACATGAAAAATCCTTCTGTTTCTGGGAAGAGTCTTCCATCTGTAAGCCACTTGAACGACTGCTCGATGTCGACATAATTATGGTTTACTTCGTTTGGAAACCTTCCATGAAGCTGTCTGCTTTTCCATGTCTCTAGTTTGGACTCGCTGATGCTTA